TCGTCCCCGTCCCCGGCTGCTGCAGAGGGGTGCCAGGCGGGCGATGTTCCAGAAAAGGGGTTTCTTGCCCGGCTTTTCACCGGCGCTTCAGGAGCGCCCCAAAACGGGAGGTTCACGTAGATCCTCTTGGTCTCCCTCGGCTGAATCGACTTACCCCTAGCTTACCGGGTCGGATTATTTGTTAAGTCAGGAAACTAGTTTGGTGGTGGCACCCTGACTGGCTCCACAAGAGTGGCTGGGACACCGTGACATTTCCTCTCTGTACTAGAGTACGCGCTTTTCAAATACGCTTTTTTCTTCTCCGCTCCTTTTAATTGTGGCCTCAGTTTGTTTCCGGTACCGAAACAAGGTGAAGGGTCATTTTTCAAATTAACTCCACAACCTTCCTTAACTTGGGATGCAGAATTCCCTGTCTTGCTGCGCTAGTCAGTGTTCAGGGAGATGTCACTTTAGCAGTCTCTACTAATTTAAATTTTATTAATGCTACAGTTGTAGAAATAAAAAAGATGTTTCATTCCAGTTAATTTTAAAGGTTAAGCTAAAAAAATCAGAGCACTACTGTTGCTTGCATATACAGCATAGAAGTATTAATGAACTTACTCTGAAGTACTCTGTTCTTTAATGTAATCCTACATATTGCACGCTTAACTGACACGTTAATTTTAGTAACTCAAGCTCTTTTTTCTTTAACTTGGGAAGCTGACATTAACACTTGCTCAGGTGTCTTGTCCCCCTTTTTTAAAAAAATACTTAGTACCCCTAAGTTGTAATTTGGTAATAATTGTTGATACTCAGGTGCCTGAATATATGTTTAAGTTAAAAATATAAGTGATACTGTCTTAAGCCCAACAAGTACCTGTGGTGAGTTTTGACAGTACTAAAATTCTGTGCAAAAAATGTATTTGAGGCATGATAAATTACCTTTTTCAGGATCAAAGCCCCTTCCTCGCTACGGATATAAACCTTCACCACCAAATGGTTGTGGATCCCCTTTATTTGGAGTTCAGGTAAGTATTCCCACTTTGGGGCTTCTTTGCGTATCTTTCATACGTCAACTTTCCTCGATGTGGGTGGTTTTTTCCCTCCCCCATTCTAAGGGGATCCATGTATCCATGTACAATGTCCCTGCTGTTATCGGCTCCAGCACATGCTTTGGTAAAAACACATGAAACATCAGTGTTACAAGCCAACACAGCATAAACATTTTCATCATTGACATAAAATATTATAGGGATAAAATAAAGTGATGATGATTAATTTCTAATTTTTTAACCGTGTTTTGTTCTCACTGTCTTGAAAGCGTTGAATAACCCCAACTGTAGCCCTGTGAGAGTGGAGGGTTTGGCTCCGACTCTTGCTGTCCTTACTGACGCTAACCCATTTTCCTTAATGCTAGAAAGAAAATATGGGTTAGCTGAGGTACTGGCTCTGGCTGGGATGGAGTTAACTTTCTTCATGGCAGGCTGCATGGTGCTGTGTTTGGGATTTTTGGCTAAAACTGTTGATGGTTTTGGTTATTGCTGAACAGTGCTTGCACAGCTTTGGGACTTTCTCTTTTTTTCCCCACTCTGCCCATCCGCCACCCCAGTGTAGGCTGGGGCTGGGCAAGAGGTTGGGAGGGGACACAGCTGGGGCAGGTGACGTGAATTGGCCAGGGGGATAGTCCGTCTTACACAGTCATGCTCAGCAATACAAACTGGAGTAGTGGAAGAAGGGAGGGGTTGGGGGTGGGGGTGTTTGGCTTCCGAGGTGGCTGTTGCTCAGAGACTGGCTGGGCATCTGCTTGTGGGACGTGGTGAATGATTACTTTTGCACTGCTTATTTTGGGGCATTTTTTCCCTCTTTCATTCACCTATTAAACTGTCTTTATCTCGACCCACCAGCTTTCTTGCTGTTGCTCTTCCTATTCTCTCCTCCATTCCGTGGAGGGGGGTGGGGGGTGAGCAAGCAACTCTGTGGGTGCTTGGCTGCTGGCCGGGGTCAAACCACCACAGCTTACTAGAGGTGAACAGCAAAACACAGAGATAAGTGAATGACAGCTGGATTGATTGCATTAGTTTTTAATTTCTAACTGTTATAGTCTGTTCATAGGCTGTATCTTTCTTAACTGGAATACCAATGGGGGGGCGGGATTTTCTTCACAGTTTGACATCGGTATCCCCTTGATGACAAAGTGCTGCAATCACCACGACAGATGCTACGATACTTGTGGCAATAAAAAAAATGATTGTGATGAGCAGTTTCAGTCCTGCCTCTCCAAAATTTGCAGAGATGTGCAGAAAACACTTGGAATCTCAGAGAGTGTCCAGGGTAAGCGTGAAAAAGCCTTTCTTTTTTTCCAAGTTTAACTGAACTTATTTGGCAAAGAATCTTTGTGCAGCGCAGTAATGCCACATTTTCATAAGCTGATGCTATTGCTGAAAGATGCCTTGTTCTGTCCTTCTGTCGTGCAGCCCGGACACTTGTACAGCAGAGCAATGACACAGCGTAGGAAAATGATCAGGGTTAAAACTAACCTTGAGGGGAAAATTAATGCTTCCCATTTAGGAGTATGAATATGGGAATACAACTTGATCAAAATGCATGTATAATTCTTGCATTTACTGTAGTATAGCTGAATATTCACTGTTCTGCTGAGTGAGTTCTAAATGTCTACTACAAGTGATTACTAATAAACTAGGAAAATACTGAATTGTTTCCTTTTATGAAGTAAGATATTAGAGTAATACCTTGTTATAGTGGAATTAGTTAATGCTATCCCTTAGTGAATAAATTTTAGGTTTTTCAGTAACAGGACATATGATACTCCTTCTGCTTGTTGACCTGCATCGGATCAATACATAGCCACACTTTTTAACTTGGACAATGTCGCTTTTACAGTACGTAGTCCCACTGAGAGCAGGCAGTTTTTAGAACAAGCCTATGTTTGAACTTCTCAAATTCATTTAACTGCAAAGAAGGCATCATGTTAGTGTTTAGTGTTAGAACTGGTGAATATTTGCTCAGTTCTTTTGAGCTGCTGTTAAAGATCGCAACCTCTCCATAAATTGAGATGCAAAAAGTGAGAGGGTGAAACAGCTCTTTCATCTTTCCAAGACTAAGTGATGTTTCTAACACTGATAACATTCCACATGCAATGAATTTTCTTGTTCTTTTTGGTTGGCATATGAAGAGTCTTTACTCACAACTTAAATGATTCTGTATTGGTTTGGTCTTTCATTTGACAATCTATTTGCTATGCCCAGAGAAGACTGCTTCTTTCTTAAAATCATTCCCAGTTTGCCAGAGTAATTTCTGTTGGTTTCATGTTCCATTCAAAGAGTACTTATAACTGAACTCCTCTTTGCTTGCAGCTTGTGAATCAACTGTTCAGCTGTTGTTTGATGCAGTTATACATTTAGGATGTAAACCATACCTGGATAGCCAGAGAGCTGCATGTATGTGTCGTTATGAGGATAAGACAGATCTCTGAAAGAAGATACTGAGATCTCATGGTGTAGAATAAAGTCAAAGACTCAGCTGGAATGAAGCAAGTGTTTGGTTACAAAGCTTTATGCTTTTCAGACAGTAATATATTAAACACTGACATGAATATACTGGTTTGAAAGTCACTATGATACTCTTCCTAATGTAAAAAAGAAACACGTCTTCCTTCTCTTCGCCTTTATGCCAGAAGCTTGGAAACTGAAATTAGTTTCCTTTGGTGTATGTCCGCTCAGGGTATGTTATCGTAAAACACTAGTGCCATTTTAAAGATTTTAAGAAAACTCCATAATGGGGAAATCAGAGGCGCAGAAGAGTTGTGTTGAATTCTCAGATGATTTTTAATATAGGTCAAATTTTAGGTTTACTAGCAGTCGATGCATCTGATAGATCCAACAGGAAAAAGCATTTCATGTGCGTTAATATGGCATCTTAAATAGCCTGTACTTCCATGCTTTTGGTACAATTGCCCTCAGTTCTCTCTGATGTATGCTGTCCTGTGGGTTTGTTTTTTAAAAAAAAAAAAAAAAACAAACAAAAACCCCCAAGCCCTTAGCAAGGGTATACATCTGTGCTACATATTTCTACTTGATTCTAGATCAACCTTACTTCTGCAGCACTTTTCAGATCAAGTATGTTGATCCTTTTAAAGCTTGACCACTCAAATGAACAGTTTGCAACCTAAGGATATAATTTTGATTTGACAAAATGGTGGAATGTAGTTGCTATGTTACTTTAAAAATGAATCAAATGTTTGTTTTTCAAATAAAACATTTTGTGTTGTGTATTATATGCATAGAAAGGATATATTGTTCGAAGTTGTTGATTTATACTTGTCTTGTGGCACAACTTAGTTACCGTATTCACCTTTGCTTTCATTTAGTCCATTCTGATGAAAAGTAAAAGAAAGTTCCACAGATAGGGTCAGTATGCCCAACAAACCTTTTTATTTAAAATGCCCTCTGTGAGGCTGACAGATATTTGAGCCTGTATTTCTGTCATCTGTTCCCATGACCTCTGTGAGGCTGAGAAACATCTGAGCCTGTACTTCTGTCATCTGTTCCCTTTCTGACTTCTCTAGCTGTGTCCTGGTTTCAGCTGGGATAGAGTTAATTTTCTACCTAGCACTGGTACAGTGCTGTGTTTTGGATTTAGGATGAGAATAATGTTGATAACACACAATGTTTTAGTTGTTGCTGAGCAGTGCATACACTAAGTCAAGGACTTTCCAGCTTCTCATACTGCCCTGCCAGTGAGGAGGCTGGAGATGCACAAGAAGCTGGGAGGGGAGACAGCCAGGACAGCTGACCCAAACTGACCAAAGGGATATTCCATACCATATGACATCATGCTGAACAAAAAGACCTGGGGGGAGTTGGC